TTAATATGATTTTATAAAAGCCACTTTACGAGGGTAACCGGCGGTTGTCGTATTGTTAATCGGACATGTCTTTGACCGTCTGACTCGGAGTCTGTTCCCTACGTCACTTTATTGGCGGTCGTCTAAGACGTCCAAGTACGTATAATTTACACAATGCCTGCTACGCAAAGCAGATGACGTGATAAGCGGTTTATTTTCGGTTTACTGCAGCTCTACTCAGCGAGCAGCTATCACAGAAGCACGGGTGCGGGAGGGCGGCAGGACAGGTCGGGCGTGAGAAGGACCCCGCCAGCGCCGGCCGTCCTGCAACCCTCCCCGCCTACAGGGCCGGCGAGGAGCAGGAGATACCAGAGTCTGGGCCCAGCATCCAGTTTCTCCCGCACCTTCCGGCCAGATTTACATCGAGAAAATGAGATTTTCACCTCTGCAGTTACGACCATCCAGTACGCCTAGACCTGTTGTATGAGGATGCAGCAATATCCAGAAGAAGAGAGAAAGAAAGCCGAAATGTTTTTATTCTGGCATGGCTATGAGGCTAAACGTGAGAATGGTGGGCACTAGTCAAGCGAGACGGGCAGGATGCATGAGGAGCGGTTGATTCCAAAAGAGCCAATGTAGTAGTATGCTGCTGGGGCGCCCTATGGAAACGCAAACCCAGTGCGGGTTCTGAGGCGTTGCCGTTATGTTGTACGCCAGTGCTCACTAACTGGGAAAATACCGGAAGTTTCGGTAAATGCGCCGGAGCGGGCGGGTTTGCCTAATTTTCTCTTCTTGTCAGGCAGCGTGGCCCCTAGTGAATAGGCGAACCCGCCCGCACCGGTACGTGCATCAAAACACCCGATACCTCTTTGTACATGTTGTAGTCGTACTTTTGCATTGATCGACTCATACCGATTTATGTACGAAATCGGTCATAAGTATAAAATTGGGAAACATTGTTCATAGCTGATTTCATACACAAAGCAGAACGTATAGATCGGTGATTATGACATGTGTACGAACAAGTACCTTCCCAGTGAACGTGTGCGCACTAGGTCTACGCTAGTCCTCCGTCTAGTGGCACCCAATGTGCGTCCGCGAAGAACCAAGAACCACAACAACACAAACGAGTCTACTATGATGGTTGCTTACTGTAAAAACTAAATGTCCTCATTTCAAATTTTAAAAAAGTTAGGGGGACGAAAGAAGCCGTCCAAGTTCTAAATGAGAACAGGTGCCATACGACCTTTATTCATGATCAGGCAATTCTAGTGTAAAAGTTACACAACGAAGAAGCGCGCGTCTGTCCTGGTGGGCGGGTGGCCTACCTGACTCCTGGTGCGGCACGGAGTACACGAAGCTGGCGTTGTTCTCCTCGTACTGCTCGACCGCGCGCTGGTACCACAGCTCGTCGATAGCTCGGTTGTGAATCTCGCTGAAGTGTCTAAAACGACAAAAAAATGCACGAAATTTGTAGTAGTTGTCCTTGTTATTTCTTGTACTGTATCCCGTCTCCCCAAGCCCCTTGCTTACTGGTCGTCGTGGTTCTCGTCGTGGCCGTTGGCGTGGAAGTCGATCCAGCGGGTCAACCCGCTGTGCGTTGCGACAAATGCCACACAGAAACCGTAGCGGGCTTGGTACTCCTTCCTGCAACAGGGCGTTTCACAGTCAGACATCTGCAGAAGTGGGGTGCGCTCGACCAAGGATGGTCACAAACACTGACGTCTCAAGTGCGTAACTGACAACCCGAGACAAATAATATTTTGTACGTCGTGACTAATAAAAATAATCTCGAAATGACACAGGTTTTTCGCTGAGCGAAGCTCAGTCCAAGTCAATGAGGGGTCAGGCGATGTCTCCGTCGTGAGTCTGTCTGTCTGTTTTTACGTTCCACTTTTTCTGGAAAGCGGCTTGTCCATGGACGGAATGTGAGTTTGACTAAACATCTATAATTCAAGGAAAAACAAGTGGGAGCTTTTCGTTCGTAACGGTTTGAGTTTAA